TGTGATATTTCATTGTCTAAATGTCTCACAACGCCAGGATGTTTGTTTAATGTTTTAACATAAAACCACAAGATATAAAAGTAGTGTGAGTGTTAACACTATCTCTCAGGTGTGAATCACTAAATATTCATGGCCATTGTCACTCTGTCGCATAAGGGCATTCTATCACAAAACATGTTTTACAAATGTTAAATCAATATATTGTTTTCTGTGAGCGAGTAAACAGGGTGATTTCCACATCATTTTGTAGCAAAAACTCAAGTCACATCCAATTATCAAAAGTCTTGTGAACAAATATTCTGTATGTGTTTTATGGCCTTATTTCAGTGACTTAAAAAAAATTGTTTTTCACTAACCACGCATAAACATTGTTTTCTCAAAAACACAAACATGTACTTTCATGCTGCTCACAAATTATTGTAGCCCAGTTTGTGCTGAATACAGTGTTATCAGCCATTACATTTTTTTTAAGATACTGAAAAAAAAAAACACAAATGTCAGGGCATGCCAAAACTTCTCCAGGGCCCCAAAACACCCTCAGACCCCAGAGGGTTAAATGGCAAAAACTTTTGCTGTCATTGTTTCAACCTTAATGTAGGTTATGGTCAGTGTTTTACTGATGTAGAATTGTTTACAGTGTGTTGGGTTCTTAAAAGTTTAAGATTTTATATATAATTGTTCATTTAACTTTAATTAAGATACTGTAGCTATTTTCTTAATTTGTCATGACAGATGTTTGCATCATGACAACTTTATAAAAAAAAATGGCCACAATGTTTAAGAGGTTTTAAATAAACAGTAGCATAGTTTGTGATAATACTTGGTATTTCTTTGGTGCTGTTAAAACCACCACAACAAACCTGTAGCTCTTTTATGAAATAGTAGTAAATCGCATTTTAAATCGCAATTTTTTCTCCAAATCGTGCAGCCCTAATGTATATATATTCTGTTTATGTATATACATTGTATTCTATATACAGTACCAGTCAAAAATTTAGACACACGAATGGGGAAGTGTGTCCAAACTTTTGACTGGTACTGTACTATAATATACACAAAGAATATTGTCCGATAAATCGATATCGGATTTATTTTTACTCCCTAATATCAGTATCAGCCCCCAAAACCCATATCGGTCGGGCTCTAGTTAATTTGTATATATACACATACACACATGTAACAGTGTGGAACGTGGCGCTCGGCTCACCCGTTAAGTGAAAGCCTGGCTTGAGTCTGTATAGGGGTGGCTGTAGAGAAGGAGGAGCTGCTGGTCAAAGTCACAAACGCAGGCTGAGGGATCTATGGGAACAAGCAAGGTGAGACAATCCCACAAAAACAACCAGCCAAACTCGTATGTCCTGCTCCATCGCAGATATACAGACCTGCGTAACGTATGGGGCCGGTAACACAGCGTAGCCCATGTTTCCAGAGCCATGGGCGGGGGCGAGCACAGTGCCCGGCGGCAGGCTGGTGAGGTTGGGCTGGATCTGTGGCAGATGTGTGGCTGGCATGATGAGACGCTGGGGCGTCTGACTGGTGGTCACCACCTGGGCTGCTGACGTCAAGGGTTTGGGTACTACCTGTGTACAAAAAGATGATCAAGTATATAGAGCTGCACGATTCTGGATAAATTGAGAATCAAAATTTTTGTCTCAAATTGAGATCACGATTCTCCCACGATTCTGAACTAAACAAAATAATGTGCGACAAAATATTTACTGCTGCAATCTATTTAAAAATGTTTAATTAATTTGAATGAATTATTAAATATTTTAATATATAATATGCATTTAAAATATAATAATTTAATACACCAAATTTTTATTTCTAAATTATGAAAAGGTGGTTTGAATGAATGGTTCAATGACTCATAAGTACTTCACTTGTTTCATTACTGGATGAATTGGTGTTTTTGAACGAATCTCTTGAATGAATGATTCAATGACAAAAAATTTTTAACAGTCACTTTTATGCAGTCAACACAAATGTTATTTGCAGCGCCAGTTACTTTCAAAAGATGACTTGCTCTATTTTGATCGCTACCATAGACACCAATATTAATATCCGAACTAAAAACTTTCATCTCAGTATTTGTGATAATATGAATGACTGTAAAACAGAAATAATACTGTGTAGTTGAAAAGACTGTTTGTGAAGCTGTTTCCTACCTAAACATGCTAACTGTCTGCCATCTGTATCAGCGGCTGCACAAACACAGATTTGAATGTTCTGGTATGACTTCTTCCAAAGGCTTAATAGACAAGGGCGAATCGTTTTCATTTAGAAATTAGATCGCATGGGTGTTTGAATCGAGATTGCGATCATTTAATGATTAATCGTGCAGTTTCTGCTACAGATTATCAACATCAAACCAAACAGCAAAAAGCCCAAAAGCTGCACAACCATCCGTAACAATGATGTCACGGTTTAATTGTGTGTAGTGAGCAAGGTGTTTGACTGTGTACCTGTTTGATGGTCTGTGCTGAGACGATGGGTACAGACATCCGTACTGCAGCGTTCATCATCACAGGCTTGGCTTTGTAACAACACAACAGTACATATATTATTGAATTTTCTTAAATCACTTATGAGCCTATTCATTTTCAATCCTATCATTAAAGTCATTCTTAAAAATGGATCGTTGCAGTGCACCCATTATAAAAACAATAAAGGGTTGCATATTGACGGACCATCGCCTAAAACAGGAATGATGTAACTAAATATTTTGAAAGACTGTCACAGGGGTACGGTTGGGAACTGAAAACCAGTTCTTCTAAATCTGTAAATTGCAGTTTGATCACAGAATTAAAAGACTCCTATGGTTCTTTTAACTAAATCAGACACATTCAGGGTAATAATTTAACACCTGAAAAGATAAACCTTACGAGTTGATTCTCTGAATCAAAAACATAGTTTACATCTAACTGAGACTGAAATCAATGTAGTTATTGATACTGTTCATGACAAACAGTACTACACATGATGCATTGTCACATAAAAAAAAAACATTATTAACACATTATTAACACATTATTCAACATACAGTTTAGGCCAATTGATGGATTACATTTACGCACTTCCAAAAAGACTAAAAATTCATATAATAAAAAACTAATTTCTGTATTCCGTGCTTTATGGTTTAATATAAATTTATCAAATTATGAAGTTCATTTATAAAATTTACAATTTAAGTCTTTTAGAACAACAAAACACTTTTTTGTCTAACATGGTGCTGCACAAAATAACTTATATACTGTATAAATTAAAACGGATGAAAAAATATCCTGCTTGTGTGAAATTCCTTAAAATAATAATAAGTCAATGTTTTAATATTTTATTATTTTTTTTTATTATTGAGAAATATATGATTTACTATCAAAGAGTAATATATTTCTGTGGTACGTTTAAGCAAACTATTATTTTAGCATTTTGTTGCAAAGACCTTTAAAGGGGACCTATCATGCAAAAATCACTTTTATAAGATGTTTGAACAGTGTGTGAAAACCAACCAGCCTATAATGGTAAAAATCCACCCACTCATTTTTTTATAATCCCAATAAATCAAAAACAGTCTCTCAGAACAAGCGACTCCAGATTTCTCCCTACGATGACGCTGGATTTTTACAAAAGTTGATTCTGAAAGAGGGATCAATACCAACGCTTCGTGCGCGAACATCAGCTCCAGATAGAGTAAGTGCGTCATATTTTGTTTTCCAAATTGCCTTTCTGAAAGAGCTTTTTGGCACTCAGTAAGGCTAATGTTGCTAAAGCTACCATTGTCTCTGCCTGTTTTCACTGGTGCTGCCTTCACGTGCTACCAGAATCATCATAAATAGGAATGTGGTAGTTAAAAATTGCATATGAAAGCAATGTGAAGTCTACCACTTGAGAGTTTCTGACATTTTCAGTGCGTGAGATTGTTTGTTATTGCCGATATGACAGAGCATGAGCTCTTGACGCTCCGCCCTCTTCTGAAAAGGGGGCTGGGAGCACCAGCTCATTTGCATTTAAAGGGACAAACACAAAAACAGCACGTTTTGGCTTATACCCTAAAGTGGCAATTTTAACAAGCTTTAAAAAATGATCTGTGGAATATTTTGAGCTAAAACTTCACATACACACTCTGGCAGGGTTCGTACACATTTTTAACCAATAAATTTCCATGACTTTTCCATGACTTTTGAGACAATATTCATGACCTAAATGTTCCATTATTTTACAATAAGAATAAAAATCTGTTCAAATTATCATAGCATATGTTAACTAAAATGAATGACTATTAATGCTACTCGTTTGCTTTCTTGTTTTAGTAATAAGTACAAGCTGCAACTGCGCCAGACGTTACTCCACATTTCACATCACTGAATATTATCATTTATTTAACTGTGTGGCCAGGATGGCCATTTTGGTGTAATTTTGTGTGTATTTTTGCTGCTTAAATGCAACAAGCTGACCATGATGAATGCCCCAGGGGAAATAGAATATTCGCAGGGTTTCGGTTCATTTTTGTGAAGCGCTCCTGCACAAGACCGAGACAGCAGAAAGCGTATCCTGTTTGTTTTCTAAAAAAGCACAACGTATGCTGATATTGTGAGTGCACACAAATAAAAGTAGACCCTTAACAGTCCCGAATGATGTATTACTCTTACCTTTAGGAGCAAAAATGACGGTTGTTTCCACTGTTATAAGAAAAAAATGCAAGTGATCGTGCTGGCGACTCCATGGACTGCAAAACGTGCTTTAGCTTCTCTGCACAAACGATTGGATACACGCCTAATAGCACACATTTATCTAGGTTAACCATTTAAACTAACATTGTTTTTTTAAGCATTTTATATAGGCCTATAGATTTTATTTTAGTCAAGTGGTGATGATTTGAGAAGGCTAAATTGATCAAACATAGGCTATGATTAACTCACTGTCTGCCACTGGCCACTTGGTCGTTACTTTAATAAAACAAAAACTTGAATTTAACAAACAAAAACATTGTCCAAACATATTTCTAAATGAATGTAATAAAGAAACGAAAATATATATAACCACTTTTGCCATTAAAAACGAAACTGAACTATTTTAATGGCTACAACAGCAGCTGTGTAATTGGGGAAGAGAGAAAGAGAAAAAACTTAAAAAGACGTGCAAATAAATAATAAAATTTTCTGACGATGCAACAATGACTCGATTAGGCAAGTGACAATTCTGTCAACTGTCCCGAAATGTGAGTGAAAGTCTTGTATCGCAGCGTGCATTTGACAAGAGAAAGTCAAAGAGAGAAGACGCGTACAGCTGAATCACTCGCGCGGTTTTCAAATGACTGATTTGATCAGTCTGTGTGGACTGGACTCAGTCTGTAGGTTTGATTATTTACCCATCAAACCTACATGCTATAGGCTATTGGTAAATGTAAATGCGATGGCGCCGCAGACGGCAGCCTCAGTGTTTGGCTCTCCAGTGTTTGAGGGATGAGCTGCTGAACATTCGGCAGAACACACCACACAATCCACAATCCTCTTTTGTTTTTTCGGACGTTTTGCTGAACGTTGTAGTCGGCGGAGCTGCTGCGCTGATCAAGGATCAAGCGACGCGCAGACGGGGGAAGTCATGAAGCTCAGGCAGCGCGGATTCAGGACGCCGTTGCCTAGCATCCATCTGGCGAACCTCCGCTCTCTACCCAACAAAATGGACGAACTCCTTCTGCTCTCCCGGATAAATAAGGATTTTTCAAAGAAACCTGGCCCATTCCGGACAGCGCGTTGAGTCTCCCGGGCTTTCAGCTGTTCAGAGCGGACCGCGACGACCGCGACGCGGGGAAATCATGCGGCGGCCGGACATGTTTTTACATCAACGAAAGGTGGTACACAGATGTTACAGCGTTAAAGAAGATATGCTGTTCCGATCTAGAAGCGCTTTTCATTAACTGTAAGTCGTTCTATTCGCCGCGGGAGTTTCACTCGTTCATTCTCGTCAGTGTCTACATTCCTCCGCAAGCACACGTGAGCTCAGCTTTACAGGAACTCGCTGATCTGATCACAGAGACAGAGCAACAACACCCAGACTCTGTTTTAATCATTTTCTGGGACTTTAATAAAGCAAATCTTTCCCGTGAACTGCCAAAATACAGACAGCATGTTACATGTCCCACCAGAGACAGTAATATACTGGACCATTGTTACTCCACAATAAAGGATGCATATCGCTCGGTCCCCAGAGCAGCTGTAGGACTCTCTGACCACTGCCTGGTTCATCTTATACCGACTTACAGGCATAAACTTAAATCTGCTAAACCTGTAGTAAAGTCTGTAAAGAGATGGACCAACGAAACAGAGCAGGCATTGCAAGCCTGTTTCGACTGCACTGATTGGAGTGTTTTTGAAGCAGCCACCAACGATCTGGACGAGCTCACGGAATCTGTAACATCATATATCAGTTTCTGTGAAGACATGTGCATCCCTACCAGGACTCATTTAACATTCAACAATGATAAGCCATGGTTTACAGCAAAACTTCGTCATCTTCGTCAGGCCAAAGAGGACGCCTACAAAAGGGGGGACAGAGTCTTGTACAATCAGGCCACAAACACACTGAATAAGGAGATTAGAGTGGCCAAGAGGAACTGAGCTAAAAAGCTAGAACACCAGTTTTCTGCGAATGAGCCTGCATCAGTGTGGAAAGGCCTGAAAGACATCACCAACTACAAGACACCATCCCCCAGCACTGAGGCCAATCAACAACTTGCTGAAGACCTCAATGAGTTTTACTGTAGATTTGAAACTCCCAGTCTAACACCCCACACCCGCTCTGAACATCTCTCCACACAACCATCAACACCTCCTGCAACCCCCCTCTCCCCCACTCCTACGTTTCAGATCAGTGAGGATGATGTGCGCCAGGTCTTCAGAAAGAACAAGAGAAGAAAAGCACCAGGCCCAGACGGTGTGACACCAGCCTGTCTGAAAACCTGCGCTGACCAACTGGCCCCCATCTTCTCACAGATCTTCAACAGATCACTGGAGCTGTGCAAAGTCCCTGCCTGCTTCAAAAGCTCCACCATCATCCCCGTCCCAAAGAAACCCAAGATAACAGGACTTAAT